CTTTTGATTAATACGGCAATATAGTGGCCAAGTGATTCGATTTGCAGTTCTCTGTAAGTTTGGGTATTGGTAATAAGAATTTATAATTCTGCTGGAACATTTATTGTCTATCATTTGTATTTCTTTTTGAAATGGATCGGGGTTGCATTGCATCATATAAGAACACAGAGGTCAGTAAAGGTCAATGATTTATAGATTAGTGAACCGCATTTAGATTTAATTTCGCCTTCAAGGGGGCAAAAACCCAACTGAGAGGTTTTTGCTGTTCCTTGAGGGCACCCCCAAACTCTACGAGCAGTAGCAGTTGCCAACCGGTAAGTTTTATTCATTTCTATCAGAGTGCTTAGCGCAATTAAAGGGATGGCTTAAGGAGACTCCCCTTCCTTTCTCCCCCATCCCTTCCCGCTGCCACGCTACATCAAGGGTGTACCATGTACTAGATTTTAACCCATACTATTTTCAATGTTTTGAAAAATGCAATATTTATTTAACATTCATTAATCATGAAAGAGAATGGCAGTAGTTTTTTAGATGGTTTGGTTGTTAATGGCATACCCATGCAGAAGTTAAATAATCGAGGGTTACATGTATCATATCACAATTTGCAATATTCTATTTGATTTTATTACAGAGACCAAAATGGATCCAGTTTTGTTGATTGAATTGGTAAGAGAAAAGAGGGGATTGTGGGATCCCAGAGAAAAATGTTTTAAGATAGGGATGCCACTAAAGCATTGTGGAAAGCAATTGCTACCTTACTGGATTCAACAAGTTAGTACATATTTTATGATGATTCTCTTTTATAGTTTTACCAGTTGGTACATTTTTATTCTTCAGTAAATGTTTTAATTCCATTATTCAGACTTCTTGTGCAATTCAAAATAAACAATATTTTTAAAGTATTTTCAATAACTTCAATAAAAGCTTTGAAAAGTATATTTAGTGATAGAAGTAAGGACAAACAAGAGTGATTATGAAAAATCTATTTACTCCCAAGTGCCAAACATCATTTTAATCTATCACAATAATGTTAATCTCTCAGTGATAAAGTTGGGTCTGACTAGACACACCGCTATGTCAAAGTTAATGTTGAAAATGGAAGTCATTTTAGTTTTATCCCCAATGTTTCTTCCAATCAATGTTCCTGAATTGTAATCCTTCTATAATTTGTTTACCTTGCATTGTTTGTGTGAAATGCTAGAGCAGTGAGTAGTGATTGATAATATCATAGTTTTAATACTTTAATGTTTTAAATTTGTAGTACTTTAGTACTAAACTTTACAAAATGAAAAAACTTCTGAGTTAAATATAGCAACTAACTTTTTGATATAAAAATAACAGAAGAATTATGAAATGAATTTTTAAGTTTTGCAGAGTTAATGCAAGTAATATTGCATGATTTATTTGAATACTGTATTTTAATATGTAAACAAATTGTACCCTTATTGTTTTTATAAACTGGATTGTCACGGGGGAAAAAAACAACTAATTGACTCTATGCATGCAAATTGTAGAAGTTTTATAGAATATGTTACAATGACAACTTTGTAATATCCTGAAGAAAAGTGTCAAAAAAGATGGTTACTGATAATGTTTGGAGTAGATCATTTTATTTTAAACATATTATTTAAAAAACTTTTGTTTTTAACATAAAATTTAAAAATATTACTACCAAATTTCATAATTAGCAATTAAAATGTTTAATTTTGTTTCAGGTGATAATGTGAAAAGGAACCTCCGCGACACATACAGGAGGGAACTTTCAAAAAATAAGACAGAGTGGTGACTGTTTCACCGGAAGGGGGTGGAAATATTCGGAGATAATGGATTTCCTCCACGATGTTCTGCTGCCCCAGGAGACAGTTACCAATGTGGAGCAACACAGGTCTGCTCCGGGCCCCTCAGAACTGCCAACTCCCTCAGCAACAACTGGTCCTTCAATGGACAATGAGGAAGTGTTTGGAAATGCTGTGGGAGTCATTTCCCTTGAAGTGGGAGAGTCTTCCCACAGCATAATCTCCACTCCTCAGCCTCTCCGTTCCAGGAAAAGGAAAGCCGATGCTGTCGGCGAGCTGCTGGAATTGGAGAGGCAGAAAATTGCAGAGTTCAAAAATGAGGAAATGAACCCTGAGCGGCATTTCCTTTTGAATCAATGCTGAAGTTTTTGCCTGACTACAAGAAATTGGAAGTCAGGCAAAAGATAGACCAAATATTTATTGATGCAATAAAGGATATAAATTCTAAGGATTGAAACAAGTGTTCAGCCCTAACCCACCATCCTCATTGAGGTTTTTCTGAGTTTACTCAATCGCTTAAGGCGTATGCCGGGATGG